TTGGGGTAAATAGAGAGCTAGTAACAGCTAGAAGTACGAGAATGAAAAAAATGATCCAAAATTGATTCCACAACTCTTTAAAATATTTAATTCATTTAATTAATTGTATCATGGACAAAGTACATGTCAGTAAAACAGTTAAAATATACATAATATATAGTATAAAGGCATAGCACTTTGGGACTATATTTGTAACCTAATGTGAGTGAGCCTGGGGAGAAAAAAAGAACTAATGTACTTGAATAGAATAAACAGTTCAATCTGGCACTAAAATCTCAAAATTCATATTTGAAACACAGATATGGCTTCTCAATTTTGTTAAATGAAAAATATGTCAGTTTCAAAAAGAATTTCTGAGCAAAATCTTTGAAGTTCAGATAGCATTTTATCTGGCATCAATATCTAGAAGGTGTAAAACCCTACCCCATCGGGTCGCTGTGGGTCAGAACTGACCTGATGGCAGTGAATTTGAGGGTTTGTTGTTTGTTTAGGGTTTTGATAGGAATGGTGTCAAGTCTCTAGATCAATTTGTGGTATGACATCACCTTAATAAAATCGAGTCCTTCGATCCATGTACCTAGGGTACCTTTCCACTGACAGTGAAACAAACCTGCGAGAGCCAAAACACAACAAGGCTGCTTTGTTTTTCCATCTTTAACAGGTATCACTCATTTTACCAGAAAAAATATTTTTAATTTTCCTTCTCTGACAGGTCTCTGTCCAATACTCATAGGTTTTACTGTTAGTTTGGTCTTCTTTATTTTTTTAAACAATGTTATGTACTTTTTAGGGTACGTGTTGTGCTTCTTTTGTCAATTTACTCCTTAGTGTTTGCTTTTGGTGTTTCATCTAAGAGGAATCTGCCATTGGTATCATAAAACTTTACCCATTTCTTTAATTCTTTCTTTGACAGTATTATAAATGGGGATGTTTTCTAATTTCATTTTCAGGTCATTTTTTGCTGTTATTGTTATTGGTTACTGTTGAGTTCATTGTGACTCACAGTGACCCTGTGTGTGTCAATTAGATCTGCTCTATAGGGTTTTCAAGTCTGTAGCCTTGGTGAAGTTGATTGCCAGGCTTCTCTTCCGGGGTGCCTCTGGGTGGGTTTGCATTGCCAACCATTTGGCTTGCAGACAAGCAACTAAGCTTTTAAAGTCATCCAGGGATGGTTGGTTTCGGTGGTGATATTGTTGCCATCGCACCAGTTCCAGCTCATGGCTACGCTGTGCCCAACAGCACGAAACTCAGCTTGGGCCTGCTCCATCCTCGCAATTGAGGTCACATGCCAGCCCATTGTTGAGCTACCATGTCAATCCATCTCATCGAGCGTCTTCCTCTTTTCGCTGCCCTTCTGATTTACCCAATATCATACCCTTTCCTCGGACTGGTCTCTCCTGATAACACGTCCAACGTATGTGAGACTAAGTCTCACCTTCCTTGCTTCTAGGGAGCATTCTAAAATGACTGTACTTCTTCCAAGACAGAATTGTTTGTACTTTTTGCAGTCCTGTGGCTCTTGCAATATTCTTCACCAGCACTACAGCTCAAATGCATCAAATCTTCTTTGGTCTTCCTTATTTATCGTCCAGTTTTAACATGCGTATGAGATAACTGAAAATACCGTGGCTTGTGTCAGGTGTCCCTTCGTCCTCAAAGTAGCATCCTTGCTCTTCAACATTGTAAAGAGGTCTTGTGCTACTGATTGGCCCAATGCAGTGTATCGTTTGATTTCTTGATTGCTGCTTCCATGAGCATTGATTTTTGGATCCTAGCAAGATGAAATCCTTGACAAATTCAATCTTTTCTCTGTTTATCAAGATGTTACTACCTATTGATCCAATTGTGAGGATTTTGGTTTTCTTTACATTGAGTTGTAATCCATATTGAAGACTGCAGGGATTAGCATCTGTAAAATGGAAAGACTTTTACTTAATAAAGTCTGAGGCATTCGGTTTTAAACATTTTTTTGAATTTGAATGTGTTAAAATTGATGTTTTATTATATTTAAGTTGCTGTGTTTTTGCTGACTTAACATTACTAAAAACTTTTAAAGAATTTTTTGATAAAATACAATAATATAGCCAGATTATGTAATTGTTTGAATATGAAATTTGATAATATATATAAAGTAGGTAGCACATGAAAACAATCCTTGTGTACTAGCTTGATTACTCTTTTTCTTAAGATAAAATTAATGTTAGTGATTATTTTATCAAGATAATCAGAAGTTTAGTGCTCATGGCTCAATAGTAAATCTCCACCTCATAATTTTTTGTATCTGTAGTTAAGGAAGGGTCATGTTTATTATCATGTCAGCTAGTACCTACATAGTGTGCAATTCCTGCTAGATACTGTTCTAATTGTTGTACGTCTGACTTTTAGGCCTTTAAAGTAACTGTATGAAAGGCTTTTATTGGTTAGTGTTAGGTGTCATCGGGTCTGTTCTTACTCGTCGTGGCTCTGTGTGCACCATAACAAAACACTGCGCAGATCTGCACCTCCCCCACAGTCATTGCATGTTTGAGCCCACGTCTGTAAACACTGTCAGTCTTATTGAGAATCTTCCTCTTTATTGCTGACCCTCTACCTTATCACATAGATCGGGTCCCTCTTGTCACATGTGTGTAAGTATATAAAACAAAGACTTCCCATTTTTACTTCAAAGCAGTATTCTGGCTATTCTTCTACCAAGACAGATTTGTACGTCCTTCTGGCAGCCCGTGGTATATTTAATATTCTTTGTCAACACAGTAATTCATAGGTACCAGTTTGTTAGTTTTCCTTATTCATTGTCCAACTTTCAAGTGTTTTAAGAGGCGATTGAAAAAAGTGAATGTTAGTCTTCAAGTCTTCTTTTCACGCTTCAAAGAGGTCTTTTTGCAGCCAGTTTACCTACTGCAATGCGTCATTTGGTTTCTTTTTGCTCCCCTGGGTGTTGATTATGGACTCAAGGAAAATGAAATCCTTGAAAACGTCAACTTTTCTATTTAGCCTGATGTTATTGATACAGATGAGATTTTATTTTTAACAGTGGACTGTACTTCATACTGAAGATTGTCATCTTTAATCTTCATCAATAAGTACTTGAAATGCTTTTCACTTTCAATAAGCAAGGTTGTGTCATCTGCATGTGACTGGTTGTTAACGAGCCTTCCTTAATTCTTGATGCCATGTTCTTCTGCTTCTCGGATTGTTTGCTCAGCATACTGATTGGATTGGTATGGGGAAAGGATGCAACCTGGATACACACCTTTCTTGGTTTAAAGCCATGTTCTATTGGCATGACTGTCCCTATGTGTTTATTTATATGTTCCACTTAAGTATAATGAAGTGTTTTGGAATTCCCATCCTGTACATTGTTATCTCTAATCTGTTATAATACAGTTGCACACTTTCTCTTTGTGGTATTAATGACATATCTGGCAGTAACATTTGCCACAGTGTGAGGCAAAAATAATACTAGCTATGATGGTTAAGGTTATGTGTCACCTTGGCTGGTCCATGATTCTCAGTGGTTTGGCACTTCAGTAGCCATGCAGTTTAACAGATATGTAATGATGTCATCCTCCATTTTTGCATGACAACCTATTGCTGAAACCTAACCATGTTGCTAAGTGAGGAATGATTGTATTGCTCTGTTTATCTTGGTAGATAAAAGAATTAAGGCATAAATGATTATTAAATTTCCTAAATTCTGGTACTAAACAAATTAAATAAACCAATAAAACACAGCTTTTAAAATGTACCACATGAAAGCAAGACTAACTTTTGGGATATATTAGCCAGAAAATCTTTGGAATAATTACTACATTTTCACACTAAAAAGAAAATTTCAGTCTCAAGGTTTTCCATCTTGACTCTGAAACTGACTAAAGTAGAATCTGAATAAAATGGTAAAAATTCAGACAACTTATCCCTTCCCCTTTGAGAGAAGGGGTGTTTCAGTGTCTCAAATAATAGAGTCTGAGGAATATAAAAATTGGCAAATTTTATCCTATTGGCTGCCAAATTGGAATATATTTCTCTAACTGCTGATGCAGCATAAAAATAAGTGAATGGATTTGGGGTAGAGAGACATGGAATAAGCTTCATAAGATTCTGTGAGAGACATTCCATTGGGGTAGATACCAAGAGGTTATACTAGCCAGACTTTACCCTCTCTGATGGATAAATAAATGTAGAGGGAAAAAATTTATTTTTGGCAATTTTATGCTGAATTCAATCTGATAATGGCAGAATTTTTTAGATAGCATAACTAACATCTCAAAGTCTGCTGGGGGAATTTCTAGTACTGGATTTACCGTACATTATTACTGTGTAATCTTCCCACCACTGGGATGACGTTTTCTGAGTCCATCTTAAAATGTTCCTGAGGCTTTGGAGAAATGGGTGAGGATGGAACCCTTAGTTGTTATTATGGAGTGCCGTGTGCCTATTCCAACGCATAGCGACCCCAGCTGCCAGCGATGAACAGCTGCGCGCTTCACTGTTACCTCACTTCACAAACAGATGTATAACCCACTGCCAGGGAGAAAATTTCAACTCATAGTGACCACACAGGACAGAATAGAACTGCCCCATGGGTTTCTGACACTGGAGAGGAAAGCCTCGTCTCTGTCCCATGGAGCAGCTAGTGGTTTTGAACCACGGACCTGGAGGTTAGCAGATAACTGCATAATTCACAAAGCCATCACCTGGGCTCCTTAAAACCCCCCATTATTCCTTAGCATAGTAATACAGTACTTTGTAATTGATTTAAATTCACATTGCTTTAAATCACGTGTCTTTTTCTAACCCCACTTCTTTCCCCACCACAGACATCAGTGAAGAAAGGAAAAGAAGCAAATACAGGGTTTGGAGGACCAGTTGTGAGTTCACTATATCATGAAGAAATCATCAGGTAATTTTTATCCTCATCATTGATGGTTTGTTGTTAGCTGCCATGAAGTTGATTCTTGACTCATGCGCGCACACGCTGAAACATTCCATTTGAAGCACTTTTGTGAAGCGCTTTTTTTTTTAATGGTTTAAACATCTTTATTTTTTTAATCGGGTTTTTTTATCGTTTTATTAGGGGCTCATACGACTCTTATCACAATCCATACATACATCAATTGTGTAAAGCACATTTGTACATTCATTGCCCTCATCATTCTCAAAACATTTGCTCTCCACTTAAGCCCCTGGCATCAGGTCCTCATTTTTTCCCCTCCCTCCCTCATGAACACTTGATAATTTATAAATTATTATTTTGTCATATCTTTCCCTGTCCAACGTCTCCCTTCACCCACTTTTCTATTGTCCGTCCCCTAGGGAGGAGGTCACATGTAGATCCTTGTGATCGGTTCCCTCTTTCCAACCCACCCTCCCTCTACGCTCCCAGTATCACCACTCACACCACTCACCACTCACACCACTGGTCCTGAAGGGATCATCCGCCCTGGATTCCCTGTGTTTCCAGTTCCTATCTGTACCAGTGTACATCCTCTGGTCTAGCCAGACTTGCAAGGTAGAGTTCAGATCATGATTGGAGGGTGGGGGGTGGGGGGTACGGTGCATTAAGGAACTAGAGGAAAGTTGTATTTTTCATCGTTCTACATCGCACTCTGACTGGCTCCTCTCCTCCCCGAAACCCTTCTGTAAGGGGATCTCCAGTGATCTACAAATGGTCTTCGGGTCTCCACTCAGCATTCCCCCCCTCATTCACTATGGTAAGATCCTTTTGTTCTGATGATGCCTTGTACCTGATCCCTCTGACACCTCGTGATCGCATAGGCTGGTGTGCTTCTTCCATGTGGGCTTTGGTGTGAAGCGCTTTTTTAAACATGAAACTGATTGGGCAGTATCTATCTTTAATAGAATAATAATTGGAAGAAAAGAGGTTTTTTAAGTATATAATCTTTAAAATCAGTAAGTATTTGAATCAGTTCCAGATAGTAACCTTTCTCCATAGAAGTAGTTGGCAGGGTAAAATTTTGTATCTTATCAAATAATCAAAAGCAATAGGTCCTTGTGTTTGTTAATAGTTTGAGGGTTTTTTTTCAAAGTACTATTTTTGCTTTTAAAGATTTTCATTATTTAGTCTAGCTACAAATTAAGGGTTTTTTTGTTATTTAAGAAAGTTTTGCACACTATTATATAACATTTCTTCAGTAGTCTATCTTTCATCACTGTAAATCTGAAAAGGATCTTAGGACACATTTTTCTCAGACTGTGACTCAGACAAGCAAAACTGAAAGCTATCTCTGGTTCTGTCACTTCTTCTTTTTATAATTTATTTACTTATTTATTTTTGCTGCTCTCACTTCTTTTGAGTTATTGGAACTTGCTCACACATTTATTAACATAAAATAAGTGTGCTCTAGTTTTCCGGTGGAAAACAGCTTACTAAAATTTATTAAAGGGAAATATATAGCTTCATAGAATTAAGAGGAAATTATACCAGAAAATTATGTTTGATTGTTGCAGAAAAAAGTTGGCTGGCATCTTTCACCATATAAAGAAGTAGTGATATGAACACGTTACATCTTAGGAGGAGCATTATTGCTATCACGCTATGAATCAGAACGTAAAATATTCCTAGTTTCCACAGTCCTAGCTCAGAATCATGACCACTTAATGCTAGGGAACTTGCCTTGAATATGTTTGCATTGAAAGCACATTGTTTTCAATGTAAATTAAACATTTATTTGGGACTTAGTAGGAGAAGGTATTGGACTGCTACCCTCAAGGTTGGCAGTTCAAACCTACCAGCCACTTCACAGGAGAAATAGGAGGCTGGCTGCTTCATAAAGATTTGTAGCATGAGAAAATGCTCAATATGTTTGTTATTAGTCAGAATTGACTTTGTGGTAGTGGTTTTGTTGATGGAGATTTGGGAGGAGTAAAACCAGAACTCCAAACCCACTGCTATCGAGTTGATTCCAGTTCATAAAAATGGACACCTTTAAGACTGCCGCTGACCTAGAGCGCACATGCTACCGTTTCCCTTCAGTAGACCTTGACGACGTTGAGAAGCCCATAGTAGTTTTGAGGAAACAGTGTTTGAAAAACATTTTCAGAGTTTAACTCTTCTTTCCCTTAACTCTCATCCATTGAGAAAATGTTTTGAGGTCCTTAATTTTAATATTCTATTCTTCTAAACCAAACTTAGCTGCTCCGAAGTTCATACTGACTTCTAGTTACCCTATAGGATAGTAGAACTGCTCTGTAGGTTTTCCAAGACTGTGTATCTGATCTGATGCTTGTCTTTTGTCTTTTCAAGCTTCTGGCCTTCTAGCATGCCTTGTAAACTTGACTGAAGGCTAGACATGGTGTATTGGGTACTAGGAATGGAAATAAATCGGATTTTAGTGTGAAGTTTTATGTTAATCTGGGTAGGAAATGGGTTGTGTTCAATGTTTACTCAAGCTCTGAAAGCAGCAACTTCTGTTTCATCTTACTCCCCTGGAGCCGCCATAGTTAACAGCTGAATGCTTACCCTACTGCCATCTCTGAGCCTTGACCCTACTAAAAACTGTCACTGCCATCCTGTCGATCCCAACTGTTTAGAGTCACTTTCCTAGGTGGCGGAGTAGTCATTGCTTCCCTGTTTTCCCATCGCCCTCTGTGTATACGTGAATAATAATAACATTTACCACATCATACCACATTGGATTGTAACTTGTAAAAAGAACTTATCCTCTCCACTATACTTTTAGTTGTTCCAGAGCAAGGATCATATTTTATACATCTCTGTATTCGCAATGGCTTCAGAAGTGCCCAGAAGCGATGAGGCATCCATGGCCGCTTCCCTCAGGGTGTGGTAGTGGAGTGACTGCTGGTTAGGTCGAGTCGAATAGGCTGCTTTCTTCAAAACACAGAGTGGCTGGGGTGGTTTTCCTGTGAGTTGCCAAACCTCACCTCTTTTTTTACACAAGTTTTAAAAATCACTATTTCCTTTTGCCAATTGAATCAATAAATTGTGAGCGCTTCTTGCCTCCCCCCC